CCACTACACTTGACTTAGGGTCTTTAAATGATTATCATCATTAGTATTATAAGCTGTGTGTGTGTGTGTGTGTGTGTGTGTGTGTGCACGCTTGTGCTTGTGCAAGTGTCTGCAGTGCAGATACCCTTGAAAGTCAACTCTGGAACTGGAGTTATCACTGGTTGTGGGCCACCATGTGCTATAAATCAAATTCCTGTCCTCTGTCCTCTAGAAGAACAGTAAGTTCTTAACAGTAAGTTAAGTGCCTGAGCCATCTCTCCGATTTTTATATTATTTATTTATTTGTATGTATTTTTTGAGGCAGAGCTTGCTATGTAGACCAGGCTGGAATTCTCAGAGATCTGCCTGGCTCTGCCTCCAGTGCTTGACTTAAAGGTGTGTGCCACCTCCCTGCCTTTAAATTACTTTAATGATACTATATTTTTGTTGCTTAATACACATTTTGTGTCCTTGTCTTTCTTATGAACAGCAACACAAAATATTTAACCTATTCAGTCTCTTAAAAAAAGGTACAGAGTTTATTGGTCCAAATAAAGATTAAACCAGTTAAAGTCTAATTAGGAAGTTCTTCAAACTGAACTCACTAATTGCAAAAGTTTAATTAAATGTTGATGATCACAGGTTGTCTGCATTAAGTGTTTCCCTTAATAAAACCTTAGCTCCCCACCCCCGGAATGGAAAAAGAGTACCCGAGAAATCTGTATAATTTATGTAATTAACATCAAATTTACAGTAGAATGTTTTATGAAGTCTAAGTGAAGGTGATTGAAATTTTTTTCAGCGTAATACAAAAAAATAGTTAAAATGTAGTTTTGTCGTTAACTGGAAGACCAATTTTAGTATGTTAAATTATAAAAATATGCACTGAAGCTGGGCAGTGGTGACACACGGAGGCAGGACAGGTAAATCTCTGAGCTTGAGGCCAGCCAGGTTTATAGAGAGAGTTCCAGGACAGGTCTAAAAGCTACAGAGAAACCCTGTCTCAAGGTCTCCTGAGTAAATTGGGAGCATGGGGACCTTGGGAGAGGGTAGAAGGGGAGGGGAGAGGAAGGGAGTCGGGTGGAGAACAGCATGTAGCTCAATAAAAACAACTAAAAAAAAGAAAGAAACCCTGTCTCAAACAACAACAACAACAACAAAAGGCACTGAATACCAGGTGGTGGTCGTGCATGTCTTTAATTCCAGCACTTGTGAGGCAGAGACTGAGTTGGCCAGCATGATCTACGTAGTGAGTTCCAGAACAGCCAGGGCTGCACAGAGAAACCCTGTCTCAAAAACCAGGGGGAAAAATGCACTGAAGCGATTTAGCAAATTGACTTTCAGTGAAACTTTGTGCTGATGTGGGAGGGATTTCACTTTATAATAGATTGAGGTAAGGAAGCAGGGAATTTCATTGTAGAGACTGGCTTTTATGTTATTTATCTTGGTTATTATTAACAGGAATTGGAAAAAGAAACAAGTCTTGCTGGGCAGTGGTGGTGCACGCATTTAATCTCAGCACTTGGGAGGCAGAAGCAGGTGGATCTCTGAGTTTGAGGCCAGCCTAGTCTGCAAGAACTAGTTCCAAGACAGGCCCCAAAGCTACAGAGAAACCCTGTCTTGAAAAGCCAAAAGAAAAAGAAAAAAGTCTTATATATGTGAAGTGCAACTTACTGTCAAGCAAAATAATCCTTTATGACTGCTTTTCTGTGTGCTCAGGAACTGGGAAGTAATTATTGAGGTGTAGGTGAATGTAAAAACCAATTACAGGAAGAATTAGATGGAACACTCTGGGTGATATTTAATACGTGAAATATACGTGAAAGAAGTCAGGGGGTTCTCTTTGTGTCAAGAAGTGCTGAAAACAGTTTCAGCACTGGAGATTGCTTCGTACTCCACCTGCCCCCACCCCCAGCCTTTAGTTTTTCAAGTCTGGGTTTCTCTATGTAGCCCTGGACCAGGCTGGCCTTGGACTCAGTCAGATTCATCTGCCTCTGCCTTTCAAGTCCTGGGGTCAAAGGCGCACACCACCACCCAACTGGTATGTACTTTCTAAGATCAACTCTAGAACTAGGTTTTATTTTTGGAATGGGTAATGAACTCTGCTTTTAAAAGAGTGAAATAAACATGGTAGATTGAATTAATAACTGTTAAGGCATTAGTAAAATATATAATGCTTTAATAAGTTATGAAAAAAAGAAGTAACAGAAACCTTAGGAAGTCAAGAACTGGGGCTGGGGGATGACCCACCATGTGACTGTTGGCTGCACTAGCACGAGGATCTCAGTTCAGATCTTCAGAGCCTGCTGAAAAAACATGTTTGGCATGGCAGTGTATGTTTGTGACTAAGTACCGGGGAGCTGGACACAGGCGGATCCCAGGAGGTGGTTGACCATCCAGGCTGCCAGCTTCAGGTTTGGTGAGAGATTCTATCTCAAAAATTATGAGCTGCTTTAATCCTAGCTCTTGGGAGGGAGAGGCCAGCCTGATCTGGATTGCAAGTTCCAGTGTATCCAGGGTTATACAGTGATACCTTATCTCAGGAAAACAAAACATAGTGAAGAGTGAGAGGATGAAACTTGACATTGACACAATGTCACGGCACAAGCATTCCCTACATAGGCACAAGCCACACACAAGAATGAAAAGGAGAAAGTTAAATTTGTTAAAGAGACACAAAGGGACACTCTGGAAGTAATAGAAATGTTCATTATCCCAGTTTGACGTTTTGTAATATGTTGTTTGTTAAGACTTCAAATTATTTTTTTAATGGATTTATTTATTTACTGTGTATACAGTGTTCTGCCTGTATACCAGGAAATGGTACCAGATTTCATTACAGGTGGTTATGAGCCACTATGTGGTTGATGGGAATTGAACTCAGGACCTCTGGAAGAATAACCAGTGCTCTTAACCTCTTAGCCATCTCTCTAGCCCCTCAAATTAATTTTAAGACTTGCATATTATATGTAAACTGTATCTAAAAATTTGAATCATAGACTAAATCAGTATTTCTCAATCTGTGGGTTGAGACCCTTTTGGGAGTTGAACAGTTCTTTCACAGGTTGCCTAAGACCATCAGAAAACACATATTTACGTTATGATTTATAACAGCAGCAAAGAAATAATTTTATGGTTGGGGATCACCACAGCATGAGAAACTGTATTAAAGGGTTACAGCATTAGGAAGACTGGGAATCACTGAACTATATAAAAGTGTTCATTGTGTGATAGGGAAAGAGCATTGTATTTAGTATAGAAAGGGGAAGTGAAAGAATCGGAGTAATCTGTTTTCTGGAACAGGGTCCTGTATTGGCGCTCAGGCTGGCCCATTGCTCAGTATGTAACCTAAGCTGCCCTTAAACTCCCTGCTGTTGTACCTTTGTCTGTGGGATGTTCTTCACACCTGGTGTCAGTTTGGTTTTTATCAGTTGTGTTTGGGAATCTAGGCAATGGAGACTGGACAGATGAAGAAATGTGAGCTGGGGATGTAGCTCAGTAGTGGAGCACTTGCTTACTATGTTCAGGGATCAACCCTGACACCCTACCCCACTCCGCCCCACTCACCCACAGTTTTGTGTATGCCCGCAGGTTAAAAAAAAAAACAAAAACCAAAAAATGTAAAATAGAGAAATGTAAAGTTATTCCAAAAACTATATGATTGATATACTAGTCTGCTCTGGGTGTTGCAACAAATTACCACAAATGGATTAAACAACAGTTTATTCTCATAATTCTGGAAGTTAGAAATCAGCATTAGGGACTGGAGGGATGGCTCAGTGGTTAATAGCCCTGGCTGCTCTTCCAGAGGACCTGAGTTCAATTCCCAGCATCCACATGGTGGCTCACAGCCGTTTGTGGTGCCCTCTTCTGGCCTGCAGGTAAACATGCAGAGCACTCATAGATAAAATAGAAACAAATAAAATAAATAAATTAACATTAACCCAGGTATCGTCCCTCCAGAGTCCTGTAGGGTCATTTCCCTTTCTTCTTGGAAGTAGCAGCCAGCAGTCCTTGCTGGTGGCTGCAGTGCTCTGTTTGCAGTCACGCTGCCCTCTCTCCGCCGAACTGGTTAGTCCTGTTTACAATATCTCAAAAGTGTATAGCCATGGTGACTTGAAACTTGATTTGTAAATCAGCCTGCCTCTAACTTCAGAGCTCCACCCGCTTCTGCCTCCAGAGTGCTGGGCCCACCACGTTGGGTTGTTGTCCTTATAGATTTAAGGTATACCTAGATGAGCCAGGATAATCTCATCTCAGAACTCTCAGTTGAATCACATCTGCAAAGGCCTCTTGGCCACATACGGCCCATTCAGAGCTTGCAGGTTTGGATAGAGCTACTTTTAGGAGCCGTTGGCCAACCTGATACAGTAATTATTTTAAAAGTAGCTTGGACATGAGTTTAAAAACAAGCCAAAAAGTAGAAAGGTTCCTTACATTTTTGATGGTGGAGGTTACGATGGATCTAGGTATGGAATCCAAACTGGTCTTGTATTTATGATTCTGCCTCAGTCTCCTTGTGTGGGGACTACAGGAGAGTTCATGGCCTGATCTTTCTGTTTTGGCCTTGTGTTATTTTATTGTTTGCCAGGTTTGGTGATGCATACCTTTAATTCCAGCCCTCAGAAGGAGAAGACAGAAGGATCACAAGTTTGAGGCCAATGTGTCTGTCTTTTAAAAAAGAGAAAATGGGACTGGAAAGACAGCTCATCGGTTAAGACCACTTACTGCTCTTGTGCAGGACCCTCGTTCAGTTCCAAGGGGATCCTCCGTCCTCTTTGAGCCTTGTGGACTCCTTCGTGCACATGACGCATACATGTACGCTCAGGCACATACACATAAAATAGAGACTTTTTTTACATTTTATTTATTTGGTTTTTCGAGACAGGGTTTCTCTGTAGCTTTGGGGTCTGTCCTGGAACTAGCTCTGTAGTCACTGAGATCCACCTGCCTCTGCCTCCCAGGTACTGGGATTAAAGGCCTGCGCCACCACCGCCCGGCTTGAGACAAACTTTCTTTACAATGTGCTTTCTCTGTTTTAGCTTAAAGCAATAAATGTCGACCTCCAAAGTGATGCTGCTCTGCAAGTGGACATTTCGGATGCTCTTAGTGAAAGGGATAAGGTCAAGTTCACTGTTCACACGAAGGTAAAGTGGGCGTGTGTGATGTTCCTTTAGAAATGCTGTTTCTTGTGGAATATATCGGTTGGAACGTAAATTTTGACTTAAATTGACTGCTGTTTTAACAAACAAACAGGGAAGTTCCTTTTTTTTTTTTTTTTTGAGATAAGTAGTTCTGCCTCTGGAAACTGGCTGTGCAGACCAGACTGGAGAAGTTACTTATGATTTCAGGAATTAACACAGAACCTAGATATACATGTAATTTCTAGGTTTGTGTGTGTCTGTCTGTTGGTCTGTCTGCCTGCCTGTCTGTCCATCTATCTCACTATGTAACTCTAGCTGGCCTGGAACTCCCTGCGTAGACCAAGCTGGCCTCAACTTTCAGAGATCTGCCTTCCTCTGCTTTTTGACTTCTGAGTGAAAACACCCAGCTAATAGTATAACTTCTAAGTGATGATAACAGTACAAGATCCAAGGATAATTTTACTTTTATTCAAGAAAATTGCTGTCTTTGCAGAGCTCATTGCCAAATTTTAAACAAAATGAGTTTTCGGTTGTTCGACAACATGAGGAATTTATCTGGCTTCATGATTCCTTCGTTGAAAATGAAGACTATGCAGGTTACATTGTGAGTATTTGTTTCATTTTCTTAAGATTTTTCTTTCTTTTTTTTTAATGTGCATGCATATAGGTGTGTGTGTGGGGGGGTGTCCACACGGGCCAGGAGAGACACTGTCAAATTGGAGTTACACAAAATTGATGAGCTGCCTAACATGTTTACTAGGAACCAAGCTAGGGTCCTGTGGAAGAGCACCAAATTGCTGAGCCATCTCTCCAGCTCTTTTTTAAATTATGTATATGTGTGTCTGTGTGCAAGTCAGCACAGGTGCCTGTGGAGGCCAGGGGCATCAGATGCCCTTGGAGCTGGAGTTAGAGGTGGTTATGAGCCACCTACCAGTATCAGGGCCTGATCTTGGCTCCTCCACAAGAACTCCATCTTTACTGCTAGCCATCTCTTCAGTCCAAGTTTTCATTGTCTAAGAACATTTTAGAAACTCATGTGGTTTTGTTTAACATTTTTAGTTAACTGATGTGATTTGTAAAAATGTCAGTTTCTAGGCACTGGCTTACCACCTTTTATCCTGAGTTGTCTTGTCTTACTTTGAAAATGTTATACCTTTTTTGCTTAACCTTGAATTCTTTTTTGTTTATTCAAATTAGAGTCTTGCCATGTTGTCTGTGTTCTTGCTGGTCTGAAACTTAACTGCATTCTCTAGGCTGACCTTGAACCTGCAACAGTCTTGATTCTGCCTCGTGCTAGGGTTATAGGCATGAGCCCTTCTAAACAGGATAATTAGTATTGGAGTAGGTAATTAATTGAGGAATGCTACTGTACTTGTTTTTGGATGCTTAAGTGGACAGAAACTTAGAGGTTGGAAGGCTCCTTAAGATGTAATCAGACCGCCAGGTGGTGGCAGCACACACCTTTAATCCCAGCACTTGGGAGGCAGAGGCAGGTGGATCTTTTTGAGTTCGAGGCCAACCTGGTCTACAGAGCGCGTTCCAGGACAGGCCCCAAAGCTACACATAGAAATCCTGTCTTGAATCAAAAGTAAGTGGCTATTCTTCCTCAACTGTTGTTGGGCACATTCAGTCCTGAAATTTATGATTTCCCTGGGCCCATCATGGGCTGCCTGTGTCTCTATCATGAGGCCAGCACCTCCTTGAATCATGTTTTTCTGCAGCTCAGGTTTGGGGACTGACCAAAGGCTCTTTTCCCCCTCTGTCTTTCTTTGTGATAATGCATTTTTTTTCTACTTTATCAATTAAGCTAAATATTCCTCATCAATTAAGACTGTCTTATTTTTATATACCCTTGTTCACCATTGTGCCTGCTGTATCAGCTGCTCAGTATTTGCTGAACCCGCTGCTCTCTGACCTTGTCCCTTTTCTCATAGCAATTTTTATCTTTAAATGCTTTTTATTTAGGGGTCTGGACAGATGATTCAGCAGTTTGGAGCCCTTGCTGCTCTTGCAGAAGATCCAAGTTCAGTTCCCAGCACCCACAGGGCAGCTCACAATTATCAGGGATACAATGCCTTCTTCTGGCCTCTGTGGGCAGCAGAAGGCACACATATGGTGTGCAGACATACAGGCAAAACAAGAATGCACATCAGGGGGGCTGGAGAGATGGCTCAGTGGTTAAGAGCATTGCCTGCTCTTCCAAAGGTCCTGAGTTCAATTCCCAGCAACCACATGGTGGCTCACAACCATCTGTAATGAGGTCTGGTGCCCTCTTCTGGCCTGCAGACATACACACAGACAGAATATTGTATACATAATAAATAAATATTTAAAAAAAAAGAATGCACATCAGTTTTGTTCATTTAAAAGTTTAATGAATATCTTTTTATTTGGGGTTTTTTAAAACCGAAAATGGATTTTTTTCCTGCAGTCTATTCTAATCATAGGTTCCCATTATCTCCCAGATCCTCTCTACCTTCTCACCCATCCAGCCTCAAACCTTCTTTCTCTTTCTCTTTAAAAAACAAACAGGCAAGTAAAACAACAAATGAAGGAGGTAAGGCATGAGAAACACACACAGACATGGACACACACGAACTGGAAACCGTATAAGCAGAAGACCAATTTATTTATTTATTTTTAATATTTATTTATTTATTATGTATACAATATTCTGTCTATGTGTATGTCTGCAGGTCAGAAGAGGGCACCAGACCTCATTACAGGTGGTTGTGAGCCACCATGTGGTTGCCGAGAATTGAACTCAGGACCTTTGGAAGAGCAGGCAATGTTCTTAACCACTGAGCCATCATCTCTCCAGCCCCAAAAGACCAATTTTAAAAATGCCCAGACAAAACATTATAACACACACACACACACACACAAATCTCTAGCGATACCCTTGAGTTCCTCTTGTGTTGTCCTCTACTGCTGCACTTAGGCCTGCACTAAGTGTGGTGTGTATACCTAATGAGACCATTGGGAAAAACTGTTTCCTTTCCAAGAGGTCATCTATTAGAGGTAGCTTCTGGGTTAGGGTGGGAGTTCTTGTCTACTTCCTCCTCTCACCACTGGGACCCCATCTGGCTCGGACCTGTGCGGGCCTTGTTTCCTTGATGTCATCCATCTCCCCTGGCTCTTCAGTCTCCCAGTCTCCTCTTCCGTGCAGTTCCCTGGGTCCTGAGAGGACGGATTTGATAAGCATCCCATGTTCGGATCGGGTGTCTCTGTGCATTGGCCAGGTGTGGTCTCTATTTGTTTCCTTCAGCTTCTCTGAGGACTGAACAAGAAGACACTGATCTGCCATGTGTGCGGGGCCAGCCTGGTCTGCAGAGTGAGTTCCAGGACAGTCAGGGAAACCCTGTCTCAAAACCAAAAAACAAACAAAAAACCACTGTCTGCTTCCCAGGGCAGCGCAAACACTGTCTTTTGAGTCAAAATCTCATATGACCAAAGCTGGGTTGGGTTTGCTGTGTCGAGAATCCTGGCTTTGAGCTCTGTTCCTCTTTTCTACCCTTTGATTTGTTGTCCTCATGCCTCAGCCTGCCAAGATTGGTTATATACTTGAGAACTACCTGTTTAATTTTATTTTTGGTGTGTACTATGATTGGCTATTTCCTTGTTTTTAATATTTGTGCGTGTGTGCGTGTGTGTGTGTGTGTGTGTGTGTGTGTGTGTGAGCTGAGGTGTTACTGTGATCCAGGCCGGCCTGGATCTCCATATGGTGCTGGAACTGGCCTTAGAATGATCTTGCTTCCTCTGTCTTGTGCTGGCTCATAGATGTGTGTTGCTGCTGTTTTGTTTTTTTAGTTGAAAAAAAATTTCATGCAATTTGTTAATCACTACAACATCTTACCCTTTTGTCCTTTTCTTTCCCTTTTTTGAAACAGGGCTTCATTATGCAGCCCTGGCTGGCCTGTGTTAAACTCTATGTTTATTGTTTGTGTATGAGCATACCCATAATTCAGAAGACAGCTTGTAGGAGTAAGTTTTCTTCTTCCACCATGTGGGTTCCGTAGAAAATACTTAGGTAATCAGGCTTTCTGTTCATTGCCATTATCCTCGGAGCCGTCCTGCCAGCCCCACAGCTCATTTTTATTTTATTTTGAGATCGGTTCTTACTGAGATGCTCATGGTTGCCTCATGCCTCAACTGCCCAATACGGGATTATATGGTCCTTTACTCCTGGCTTGAGAACCTCCTGTTTTGTTTGTTTATTTATTAGTTTCTCAAGACAGGGTTTTTCTGTGTGATAGCCTTAACTGTCCTGGAACTCTGAAGAGCAGACTGGCCTTGAATTTACAGAGATCCATCCAGCCTGCCTCTGTTTCCCAGCACTATGTAGTTGTCGCTGACCTTTAACTCTCTATGTAGACCAAGGTAACCTTGAAAACCCAGAGATCTGCCTGCCTTAGTGTCTTTGAGTTCTGGGGTTAAAGTTGTGCACCAGGTCTACACCTGACTAGAACTGTCTAATTTATTCATTTATTTATTTATTTGGTTGGTTGGTTTATTTTTTGTTGTTGTTGTTGTTGTTGTTTTCCAATGCAGAGTTTCTCTCTGTAGCTTTGGAGCCTGTCCTGGAACTCACCCTGTAGACCAGGCTGGCCTCAAACTCACAGAGATCCTCCTGCCTCTGCCTCCTGAGTGCTAGAATTAAAGGCGTGCTCTGCTACCACCTGACCTGTCCTAAATTTTAAAATTTTAGTGTTTGTGTGTGTGTGTGTGTGTGTGTACATGTTTGTGTGTGGAGCATATACATGGGATTACAGATGTGTGCCACTGTGTCTGGAGTGTACGTGGGATAAAAATTGAACCCACCAGGCTTTGCTCTGCAGTGCTTTATCCCTGGGCGGTATCTCCACTCAAGGACTATCCTGATGCCAAAATAAAACAGTATTAGGGGAGCTGGGCACTTGGAGGGGTGAGGTGAGAGGGTTTGCTTTAAGTTGTAGGCCACCCAGTGCTACTACTAGTGAAACAGTGTTATGCTATATTTCTTCCTTGATATAAAGGAACCCACAGATCTTGATTTGTAAAACTAGTTTTACAAAGTTTCCTAATCTCAATTTTGGTATTTCTAGTTCTCAATTCGTTTGTTATACTTTGGCATTATCAATTCAGTATTGTGCTTTTATTTATTTTTTTATTTTGAAGACAGGGTTTCTCGGTAGTTTTGTTGCTTCCTGGAACTAGCTCTTGTAGACCAGGCTGGCCTCAAACTCAGAGAAATCTACTTGCCTCTGCCTCCCTAGTACTGGGATTAACGGTGTGCACCACCACTGCCCAGTCAGTGTTTCTGTTGTTTGAGGCAGGGTTTCACTTTGTAATCAAGGCTGTCCTCAGAAGTATTAGGTAGGGCAGGTTAGTCTCAAATTTGCAGCCATTCTACTTCAGCCTCCCGAGTACAGGAACCACCACCTTCAAATAGTGTGGTTCAGTGCTAAAAGACATCACTTAGGGCTGTCAATGGCTTACTAGGTTTAGTCATGTCTGCTACCAAGCCCTGAAAACCTGAGTTTGATCCCTGGGTCCCACATGGTGGGAGGGGAGAACCGAGTCCTGCAGGGTCTTCTCTGACCACTGCACATGCTTGGGCATGTGTGCGTGTGTACACCTAAAACAGTGTTAGAGAAATAGTTTCTTACAGGTAGCTTTTTGGTGTATTGTAGATCCCACCAGCACCACCAAGACCTGACTTTGATGCTTCACGGGAAAAACTGCAGAAGCTTGGAGAAGGGGAAGGATCGATGACAAAGGAGGAGTTCACCAAGATGAAGCAGGAGCTGGAAGCGTATGTGATGGGCTTTTGTTAGTTGCGTTAGCTTTGCTGTAATGCCTTTTCTGAGCTCTCTGATATCCATTCTTTTAACCATTTCACTGTACTGACTGAAATATCCAGGTTAAGTCATACACCTATGTTAAATGATCAGACAGTTGTCTCCTGTCACTGTCAGAATTTTAAATTATTTAAATAGACTCTGTAAATTGAAAAAATGAGGGATCTGAAACCTTATTAGAATATTAGGAAGGGAACATAACTTTTTTCTTTTTTGTTTTTTTCAGGACAGAGTCTCTATGTAACAACTCTGACTTTCTGTCTTGGAACTTGCTGTGTAGACCAGGCTGGCCTCACTCCAAGAACTCTGCCTTCCTCTGCCTCCCAAGTGCTGAATTTAAAGGCGTGTGCCACCACCGCACGACTTGCCTCCTCTTTTATTAAACTTGGAACTTTCTACTTTTGGGAGTTATGAAAATTATTTTAATTTATTTTTACAATTTTTTAAAAGATTTATTTATTATGTACACAGTGTTCAGCCTCCATGTATGCCTGCAGGCCAGAAGAGGGCACCAGATCTCATTACAGATGGTTGTGAGCCACCATGTGGTTGTTGGGAATTGAACTCAGGACCTCTGGAAGAACAGTCAGTACTCTTAACCTGTGAGCCATCTCTCCAGCCCCCAATTATTTTAGTTCTTACGATGTCAGCATCAATCTGATATGTGATCTCAGAGCGCCCATCCAGCTGCTTGCAACAAAAATACCTATTAGGTTTCTGGATCTTTTTTGGTTTTTAATTTTACTTTTTCAAAGTAGCAAGAAAACTTTATTCATAAAGAAAGGGAAAGTAGACAGGCAGTGGTAAATCTGAGTTCAAGGTCAGCCTGGTCTACAGGGTGAGTTTCAGGACAACCAGGGCTTCACAGAGAAACCCTGTCTCAACAAACAAAAACCAAAAGAAGGGAAACTCTAGATCAGAGATGCACTGTGACACTGCTGGGAATGGGGTAGCCGCAGGCAGAGCACTGGAGTCCCCAGAGCTCACACAGGGCGGAAAGAGAGAACTGACTGACTCTTCACTGTTGTTCTCCTACCCCACACACGGGTGCGTGCGTGTGTGCATGCATGCATACAGTTAAAGGAGGAAAGAAGTGATAGCAAGCCACGTGAGGGAAAGAACACTCACGGCCCTCGTCAGTGTCTGGAGTTGTCCAAGGGAGAAAATCTTCTTGTGTTGTCACCTCCATTTCTCTTTTGCTGGCCATTTTTCCCTTGTGCATTTTCTTTACTCTTTTTATTTTATTTTTATTTATTTTATTTTATTTTTTCAAGCATCTGTTCACATGCTACTAAATTCCTTTTCAAAATGCTAAGAAGTTAATGTGAAAAGATAAATGCAGAAGCTAGGTCTTTGTTAATGTGTAAAGGGGCATGTTAAAGTTCTGTCCGTTCTGCTGCTGCAGCAGTCTCATAGACTGATGGAATTCATGTTTAGAAGACTGAGAGCTGGGAATTAGCAGAGCACATGATTCTGAAGGCCCTGGTTTTCAGTGGCCCTGATTGTGGTTCTTCTGTGGTCTGGTTAGGGGTTGGATAACAGAGAGCCTTGGGTTTGTCCCACTGCTACCTCCATACTCTGCACCCTTCTTTTTTGTCTTCACTGAATGGCTACCCTCACAGAGATCAAACTGCTCTCAACACAGCCTGCTGGTGTGCTGATATGTAAAGCTTATGCTTCATGCACGAAGTTAAAGCAAGAATATTAAGATTTTTCCTTGTTGGTTCCCCCACACTCACACATACACGTACATCTGTTGCGTGCTGCTATATGGTTGCCATTTCTTCAATATAAATAGTTACTCTGTGGTTGGTCTTTCTCACATACTTAGGTTACAATACAAAAATAATTATTAGCACTGAAAATATGATAGAGATTTTTGTCTTAAGGTGATAATTACATAAAATTTGAGTTATTGAGGTTGTATCAAATAATTTTTCTAGAGCTAAAAGAACACATACCCCAGTAGTGACCTAACATCAACTTGCATAATAGAAAAGTTTGTAAGACTTGATCTTAACATTTAGATACATAAATACTAAAATAGCATGAGGCTGTTTCAGAAATGAGTTTTTCATTTTTACTAAACTGTTTAACTAAAAGCTCTGTTGATATGAATTATGTCTCTGCCTTCCTGGTTTACATTTAGAATGCTCCGGAGAATAATTACTGGAATGACTTCTTGTTGATGCCATTGTTCACTTTTAATTTTATGTTGTTTCTAGTGAATATCTGGCAATTTTCAAGAAGACGGTTGCAATGCACGAGGTGTTCCTGTGTCGTGTGGCAGCACATCCTATTTTGAGAAAAGATTTAAATTTCCACGTCTTTTTGGAATATAATCAAGATGTAAGTGTCAAATTAATGAAACCAGTGATGGCAGTTGTTGCTGTTTGTTATTCTTTCTGGAGTTTGAAAGGGCAGAAGTAGCACTAGCCAACATGAGCTAGGCCTTGGGCTTGACAGCCTGCACCACGCTTCATAGGCCTAGAAGGGGCAGGGCCATCTCACGGGTCCAAAGGCTTTGGTTTTTCAAGTGCCACATTTTTAGTGGTGAAGCAAAGAGCTTGAGTGGCTCAGCTAAATCAGTTACAAATTAAACTTCCGTAATCCGAAAGCCCGAAATTAACTTTTGTTTGTTTCTGTGAGACCGAGGCCCAAGTATCCTAGATTGGCTTCAAACTGTGCAACCCTGGATGACAGAGTTTACACAGCTCTTCGCTTTGTTCCAGACAGGTTCCTAAAGTAACCCTGGCTGTCCTGGAACTTGCTCTGTAGAGCAGACAGATCTTCCTACCTGCCTCCCAGAGCATCATGCCTGGCTACAGTTCAGTTTTTTTTCCTTTTTTGAGATAGCCTTTCCATGTAGACTGTCTACAGCTCTGACTGTTCTAGAACTCATTATATAGACCAAGATGGCCTTGAACTCACAAGAGATCTGGCCAGTGCTAGGATTAAAGTTATGTGCTACCACACCTGTCTGAGTTCTGGGGTTTTGTTTGTTTATGTTTTTTATTGTGAGCCTGCTAAGCCACCTCTATCTCTCTAGCCCATTTTTTAAAATAATTAGTTGATTTTTTTTTTTTTTAAGACAGGGTTTCTCTGTGTAGTTCTGACTGTCCTGGAACTCACTTTCTAGACTGGCCCTGTTTGTGGAAGAGCATGCTATCTTTAGCTATCTTTAGCATGCTGCCACCTCTGGGGGTAGGATATAGCCAAGAGCAGCTGCAATAGACTGTATGCTTTGGGAATCTCTTGGACAGCCCTGGCCAACAACTCAAGAGGACTTCTCATGTTTGATATTGGGAGTTTTGTTAGTTTCCTCCTGGTAATCTTTCATGCTGTTCCAAGTTATCTTTTATTTCCCTTGTACTTTTAAGTTGCTGACCCGCACAACACAAGACTAAAGATCCTGTTCAGAGTAAGGGGGAGTAAAGAATTTGCCTAGTGTATTGTAGAGCTATTACAGCATCATGATGATGCACGTACTTACTCCGCTACATTTCTTATGTTTGGAGGAATTAAACATATTTTTAATTATGGACTAAAATTTTACTTATTTATTTTGTTTGGGTTATTTATTTTCGGTGGGGATTTTATTGCTGTTTTGAGACAGGGTTTCTCTGTGTAGTCCTGGCTGTCCTGGAATTCTCTATGTTGACCAGGCTGGCCTTGAACTCACAGACATCTGCCTGCTGCCTCCACCTCCTGAGTGTTGGGGTATGTGCAGAATATAACAATGTCTAACAGAAAGGTGAGAGAGCTGTTTGCAACAAGATCAGATGGTCTTGTAAAATTAAGTTGGCCTTTTCCATCTGAAAATCCTGGAGAGTGACATTTGAGCATTTTATTTCTACCAATTTCCTCTTTTATTTACTTTAAAATTTAAAAGAAAAAGCAGTCTTGTGTAATCCAGCCTGCACTCAAACTTGCTGTGCGGCTGAGAATGACCTTGACCTCCTGTTCCCTCCCGAGTGCCAGCTGTGTGCCACCATGGTTGACGCTCCTACAGATATACACGAGATTGCTGCTTTTGCCAGGCGGTAGAGCATGCCTTTAATACTAGCACTCACGGGCAGAGCTCTGAATGAGTTTAGCATCAGCCTGGTCTACAGAGCAAGTTCCCAAACAGCCAAGGCTGCCCAGAGAAACCCTGTCTCAAGAAAACCCAAAGTGGGGGAGGAGCTCCTAAGTTTAGAAATTGACGTCCTTTAAGATTTCTATTTAAGCTGGGTGGTGGTGGCACGCGCCTTTAATCTCAGCACTTGGGAGGCAGAGGCAGGTGGATCTCTGTAAATTTGAGGCCAGCCTGGGCTACAAGAGCTAGTTCCAGGATAGGCTCCAAAGCTACAGAGAAACCCTGTCTTGAAAAACAAAACAAAACAAAATTTCTATTTAAAGGTCTAAGAATAAAAGAATTATTGCTGTTTGAAGTTTCCAGAAATGCTAACTTCAATTCTCCTTCTCTCTTTTTTTTTTCCAGTTAAGTGTTCGAGGAAAAAATAAAAAAGAAAAGCTTGAGGATTTCTTTAAAAACATGGTTAAATCAGCGGATGGAGTCATTGTTTCCGGAGTAAAGGTGAAATTTAGCAGCGCTAGTTGGAAGTACATACTTTCTGTTTTGGTTTCACTGTGTGGCCCTGGTTGGCCCGGAACTGAGAGGCACCTGCCTGTGGTTCTTGAATTCCAGGATTAAAGATGTGTGCTGCACACCTGGCTGCCCGGTCAGACTGTGAGACAGCTGGGCAGAAGAGAGGGCTGAGGGGCAGTGCCTGTAGGGTGGACTGTTGAACCACAGGTGCATGGGGTCTTCAGCTGCGGGTGGGCTGCCTCTGAGTGCTTGCTCTTGCTTGCAAATGTTGGGGCAGACTCGGGATTGGATTTAGTCAGCTCTCAGCTGAGGTTTTGGTAGTGTCTTCAGATAAAGACATGATCTTGGGTAAAACTGTTTTTCCATCTTCAAAATGAAGTAATATCACTTGGCTCTCAGGATTGTGGGAAAGATGGAATAAAATAATGTGAAAATATTTTAATAGTCAGATACTAAGTAGTGACTTTTTTTCCTTGATTTCTTTTTAAATGGTATGAGAATTTCCTTTGGTAAATTTTTTCAGTAAACATTATAATATCAGCAAATATTAAGAAAGGTGAGTGAATAGTGCTCCTGTTTTCGTTGTTACTGCTCCCATGCCTGCAGGGAAGCTTGTGTGCACTGTCTGACTTCCACGCTGGGCTTGTGTTGACTATCCAGGTGCCATGTGCTCTCTATTGACAATGTGTAATTTTGATTGCAGTCTGCATTAGATATATTTGTTCCTAATTTTTTTAAAAAAATATTTATTTATTTATTATGTATACAATATTTTGTCTGTGTGTATGCCTGAAGGCCAGAAGAGGGCGCCAGACCTCATTACAGATGGGTGTGAGCCACCATGTGGTTGCTGGGAATTGAACTCAGGACCTTTGGAAGAACGGTCAGTGCTCTTAACCGCTGAGCCATCTCTCCAGCCCCTTGTTCCTAATTTTTATGGTTAAAAAACAGACACATTTGAAGTGATGATTAAATACACTTTTTTAGTGCAGATTTTGCTGCTCAGAATCCATGCTGTAAATTCTAAATTATGTCAGTAACACTTTCTTTTTTTGTGGTTTTTCAAGACAAGGTTTCTCTGTAGCTTTGGAGCATGTCCTGGAACTAGCTCTTGTAGACCAGGCTGGCCTCCAACTCTCAGAGATCCGCCTGCCTCTGCCTCCCGAGTGCTGGGGTTAAAGGCATGCACACCACCATCGTGTGGCTGTCAGTAACACTTTTAAAGAGCAGTTGCTAGAAAGCACTCTTAGCGAATTTTTAAAAATTTAAAATGGGGGCTGGAGAGATGATTCAACGGTTAAGAGCACTGGCTACCTTTCTAGAGGACCTGGGTTCAAACACTCCCAGTACCCATATGGCAGCTCACAACTGTCTGTAACTCAGTTTGGATCAGGAATCTAACACTAAATTAACCAGTGTGCTTAAAATTAAATAAATTAAAAAAATTAAAAATGTATTTCTAGCTTACTTTCAAGAGATTGAGGGCTGGAGAAATGGTTCGTTCAGAGGTTAAGACCACTGACAACTCTTCCAGAGGACCTAGGTTGGATCCCCAGTATCAGTGTGTTCAGTTCCGGGGAATCAAACACCATTCTTATGTCCTATGGGCTCTGGGTACTCAGGTAGTATGTAGACATACATTAAAGCAAAACACTAATACATATAAAATAAAAATAATAAGTGTTTAAAATTAAAAAAAAGATTGAAAATGGAGTTTAATTATATCATTGCTCCCAAGTGGCTCGTGTGGCTGAGTTCATCTAAGCAGTTAGTTAGGCCAGGCGGCCCCTGAAATGCATAATAAACCAGGAAAAGTAGGTTTTTCATTACCAGAAACATTACCAGAATGTTTCTCCCTTTAACTCAGAAGCCATTTGCTCGCTCCTGGCAGTGTTTGTAGCAGCAGAGCACAGGCAGTGCCTGTTTCAGGACAAGCACACAGGACGCTCCAACCTTCAGCTGTAGACCACAGGCTTGTCTGTTAGTCTTCTGTGTGGATGAGGTCAGTGGAGGGCCTGGGTGCTAGAGATAGCTGTACTTTCCTGGTGAAGTTTCTGTAATGATGACAGGGTATCCTATTACATTAGCGCATGCATGTGTGTAAAGCTAGCTCTTTCCTCATCCTGCAGGACGTAGATGACTTCTTTGAGCATGAACGAACATTCCTTTTAGAATATCATAACCGAGTTAAGGATGCATCTGCCAAATCTGACAGGATGACAAGATCTCACAAAAGTAAGACTTCTGTGGTAAAACTTTTTTAAAGATTTGTTTGTTTTGTTGAACTTGGTGGCACATGTCTTTAATCCCAGTGCTCTGAAGACAGGGCAGGCAGATCCTCTGAATTTGAGGCCAGCCTGGTCTGCAGAGTGAGTTCCAGGACAGCCAGAGCTTTATAGAGATACCCTGTCTTGAAAAAGCAAACAAATGAAAAGATTTGTTTTAAGTGTATTTGTGTGTATGTGTCAGCATCTGTGTGTGCACAATAGAGACCAGAAAGATGGCATCAGATCCTCTGGAGCTGGAGTTACAGGTGGTTGTGAGCCACCACGTGGGTGCTGGGAACCAAACCCATGTCCTCTACAAGAACAACAGATGCTCTAATCCACCTAGTTAAGTTACCCAGTTAACCACTGAGTAACCATCCTCATCCACACACACACACTTACATTTTAGTGGATATAATTTTGAGCAGACATGTTACAGTTTTTGTTTTGTTTTTTCAAAACAGGATTTCTCTGTATAACAGTCCTGGCTGTCCTGGAACTTGCTTTGTGAAAAACCAGGCTGACCTTGAACTCCCGGAGATCTACCTGCCTCTGCTTCCCAAATGCTGGGATAAAAGATGTGCCACCACCAACTATCATTTCTTATAGTTTTTTAAAAATCTGAATTTGGAATAGTGGTTCTTAAATTGTGGTCTGTGACACTCAGCAAACTCATATTTTGTGGATGCGAAGCTAAACACACCCAGTTGAGCTACAATCCTGGCCCCCAACACATGCTTTGATTCGGTCTGGTCTTGAACTTGTGAGTCTCCTACCTCAGCTGCCCCCAAGATCCTTTTATGATATGTCTTCTGGTTTTGTTGGTATATACTTGTAATTCCATTTCAAGAGAGATAGGATGGCTCAGTGGGTAAAGAAAGATGTTTGTTGTACAAGCATGATGACTTCAGTTCAGTTCCTAGAATTCACATAAAGAAAAAGAGAGTTGACTCCACAAAGTTGCCCTCTGGCCTGCACACTTGTGCTATAGCCTGCCTGTACCCATACTCAAACACACACATCACAAACATTCCAATAATAGGAAAGTTTATAAGTTTTTAAAGAGAAACCTTGTCTCGGAAAAAAAGAAAAACCAAAAGAGAGACAGACAGATACTGGTGAAAATACTGCTACTCTATTTCCAGACATGTATATTAGGTAGCTAGTGTATGGTAACTACTTTGTACTGTGTTCTTATATAGCATGTAATTTATAGTCCAGATACTTTGTAATATTTAATAACTCATTTAATCCACATAAATTATGATGTGGGTATTATTCATTTCTACAACAGGCTGCTAAGACAAGTGACCCAAGATTTTAAGGATTATTGCACATTGCACTATATTCCTTTCATTCTGAACTAAAAGAAGTACTTACTGAGGTCCTCCCCCAGTAAGTGAGCTGCCTGTGGGTAAATCCTGAGACTCGTGTGAAGTTGATGCCTTTGCCCAGTAGCATCTGAATAAAGGAGTGTTGTGTGGTGTTTTACTCTTTTGACTCTTTGGGTATCCTGCTACCCAGTTCCCAAATGAATCACATACGGAGTCTTATTCTTAGTTATAAACATTCGGCCTTATTTTGGCTTGTTTCTTGCCCGCTTTTCTTAGAGTATCCCGTCTACCTTTTACTGTGCTTTCCAATTCTCTTACTTCTGTAAATCTTACTGGTGGATTGCTGTGTAGCTGGATAGCTGGCCCCTGATGTCCTCCTCCTTCTCCGGCTACTTCTCCAAACCCCTTCCTGCAGTTTTCTCCTATACATTCTCTCTCTGCCTGCCAGCCCTACCTATCCTTGCTCCTGCCTTACTATTGACTGTTCAGATCTTTATTAGACCACAGATATTCGAGACAGGCAAAGAATCACAGCTTCACCGAGTTAAACAAATGCAACATAAATAAAAGCCCCACACCTTAAAATAATATTCCCAACAAAGGGGCTATCATTTGTGTCCCTGTGTATGTCAAGTCTGTTGTTCATAATTCCTACCTGTCGGACCTCCTCAGTGACCTACAGCTTGCCAGTATCTATGACCAGATTCTTGCAGCAGTTTCTTGGTTGTCACTGTGCCTTTTCTGCCTTTCCCCTTTTAGACTGTAGGTAGCAGGTGGGGGGAACGGGGTGAAGGAGCTCCAAAATTCTTTTTAGGTTGATTTTGCCACCTTATGACTTAAATATTTAGTGATATCTATCCCAGAAACACAAACTCTTTTGGTTTGCAAGACCTTGACTTCCAAAATATTTCCAGTTTTTCTGTCTTCGCTTCATCCACTTGCCTTTGTCTCTAATGGTACTGAGTCCCACCTGCTCTGACTGGGTGTGCTGTTCCCCTTGTGCCTGTGACCTTCCCAGACACCTGTGTGTCCGCTCTTCGCCTGGTAAAGGTCTGTTCATCCTGATCACTTCAGTTCATTCTTTGTTTCCGTAGTCTTCTCCGTTACACAACATTACATCCTCCTCCTAAAACAGGTCTTACATGTCTGATTTATCCGTCACACTGCGTTACAGTTGCTTGTATCATTATTTTCTTTACTGGGTATCTTATATTACATTTTGCAGATACATAATAAGTATTTTTAAATCAACAAGTTAATATATTATTAAAACTTGATTTTTAATTCTTAAACCTTTCTCTGTAGGTGCTGCTGATGATTACAATAGAATTGGGTCTTCATTATATGCTTTAGGAACTCAGGACTCTACAGATATATGCAAGTAAGGACTATAGTTAAAACATGAATGTAAGTAAAGCAGAGGAAGAAGGAAATAGTGCTGTAATTTACATACACATTTTAGGATATTTTTATCGATCCATTTGTGATAAACTGGGTTTTTTTATTATCATAAATGGTTGATTTCTTTTTTGCCTTCTCATTCTCTAATTATTATCCTAAAATAATTCAACACTTCAGGCTGGGCATGGTAGTGCATGCCTTTAATCCCAGCACCTAGGAAGCAAAGGCAGGCAGATAGCTGTGAGTTTGAGGCCAGCCTGATCTACATAATTAGCTCTCGTTCAGCCATGGCTACATAATGAAGCCCTGTCTATAAGTAAATATTGAACATTTCACAAATTTGCTATATATTTCATTGGAAGTCAAATTAAACTTTTTTTTCAATTAAAGTAGTCTACCACTGAGCAAATTGCTCCCCTAGCTGCCCCCCCCCTTGTCACAAGGTCACACAGGCTACAAACTTGCTGTGTAGTCAAGAATGCCCATGGTCTCTGGATTCTCCTGCCTCTGCTACCTGGATGCTGGCTGTTGCAATTTACATGCACACACCGCCATTCCTAACATTCCAATTGACTATTAAGCAACAACAAAAATTTCTGTTTATTGTGTGTGTGTGTGTGTGTGTGTGTGTGTGTGTGTGTGTGTGTGTGT